AGAAGGAAGATCCTTTCGTCCGTCTTCTCATTTCCTAAACCTGAAAAGACTTCTGTTATGGAACAAGGAGAACTCACACTCGAGGAGGAGAGGCCTTGAGCCTTGCCAAAGGTAAATTGGTATTTATCTCATATTTTTTTCAACACAATGCATTAGTTTTTAAATACTCCTCATGTTTAATTTTCTAAGTAATTGCATTTGCTTAGCTTTATAAGAAGTTAATCAATGAAAAAATAAATAGTAGTAATGCAACAACATGCCTGTCGCCTCTACCTAAATTTACTCCATGAAAGTTTGTTTATCCCTCTCTAGCTAACTTCCAAGTCAAAAGAGAGACATGGGCTACAAAAGAAGAAAAAAAGAGAGAGAAGAGCAAGGCAAGCTCACATGCTCAGAGAGAGAGAGAGAGAGAGAGAGAAGGAAAGAAAGGAAAGAAAGGTAGCTATGCTCTCATCCAAAGATGCTAGAGAGAGGAAGATCATCAAAGGAGTACCACTTCTATCACCGGACATCTTGATCTAATTGCATGACTTGTTGCTTCATGTGATCCAAGTGTTGACTTGGCAATATATTCAATACAAGTATGCCTTACATTCATCCTCTACCCATGAAATCCACATAAGCTCTACGATAGGAATGTGAAGGCTGAGCTATATGGCCTTGGTGAGGATTCATACACCTTTGAGAGATTTGAGAGTACCATTGGAGGAACTTGAGCATGCTTCTTTCTAAAAACTCAAAAATCTCTGAGAAGTTCGATCAAACCAAAGGAGGAGAAGGAGCATCTCCATCAAGCTGGTATGTCTTGTGATCTCTCAGGACAAGGCGAAGGCTATAAGCCTCATATGACTAAGGTAAGATGGGTGAGTCTCTAAGTACCAACTTATTCAATGCAAGAGATAGAGTGTTGGTTTGTATACAAGTTTTTACCGGACGTTAACATTGTAGCAACTCTTGATCCAAATACTAAATCCGCATCTTTGCTCGAGATGAGCAAAGGGATAGCTTGGGGAGCTTGTTGATGGTCACTAAACCCCATGTTTGACCATCGACATTCCACTAAAGTGAAGGTAAATCACACCACAAGTAGCATTTGATGTTTATTAATGACCTAGTTCCACTTGCACTTGGAGAATTTGCATACATGGGCAAAATGGTCAAAAATATTGAAGAAAACATCTTCTAGAAGGAACCACATATGACAGGGAGGCTAGGACCCACACCACGGCATTGCCTGATGCCTCCACTCCCCTTGGCATGTCATTGATCCGTGGGGGAGCAAGGAAGCACACCTAGGAGTCCCCTCAACCGTTGATTTGAGTCAGTGGCATCCAAGGGTGTTGGATGGACCTCTCTTGGATTGGAGGAACCATCACTAGCCACTCAAACAGCCCACTGACCTTCCAACCACATTAGGATAGGGATAACCGCCATCATGGAGCTCTCCATCACCGTTGGATGGGAAGGCAATGGATCCAAGGGGTTAGCGGTTGCCCTAGGTGTCGCCCGATGTCCCCCCTCTCCACTGACCTTCCACTCACTCCTAGAAGTACCCCCTAGCTCCAGAACTCTATAAATAGGGGTGTTGAGCTATGGGGAAGGCATCACTATCAAGAAGCAACACTCTCCAGTAAAGATCAAGCTCATCCTTGAGCTCTACCGTAGTAGCTAGGCTAGTAGTGGGAATTGAGTTAGAGTGAAGCTCTGCTCAGAGTCTTGTGGGTCTGGTAGTAAATAATCTTCAAGGCTAGGCAATTTTGTTCTATTTGGATAGTTGGTTAGCATGGGTCATTTTCCTATCAGGCTAAGCTTGAATCTAAATAAGTTTTTGATGTCAAGTGGTTATATTGGCGAACTAGTAATATTTTCTTTATGAAACCACATGTGAATTGTTTGGCATACCTATTTCTCTTAAATTTCAAGAAGTATCAACCTTATATTAGCAAAAAATCTGCAAGAGACCAGACGAGAGGAAGCTGCCTCTATAGCATGTTAATATTGAAGAAAAACAAATAAACTAACAAGATGTGCTGAACGAAGCTATGGAGAACCAGAATTTGCCACATTTTGGATTTCAGAACTTTGTCGTGTCCAATTATGCTAAAGTAAACTTGGTGGTGGAAGATTTTCAACTTGGTGGTCAGTTGGGATTGAAGCAGGGAGTGATAGGAGGAGGGAACCATCATATGGGTGTGGCCAGGAATGCACTTGGCAATGTTGCAGGAGCTTTTGCACTAGGACCAATGTGATCGGTGAAGCCAATGTCATTATGGGTCATGGCGTTCCTATTTTGCTACCCTTTCAACATTAGATGACAGATCCTCTTGATGCTGGACTGGTGTTGCCTAGGCTGAATGATCATAATGTCAATGTGATTGCCAATGAACTGGGAGCACTGCAGGATGTCGCTTTGGCACTGTCTAGGATGGTTGTGCAAGGTAATGCCAATGAACTGGGAGCGCTGCAGGATGCCCCTTTGGCACTGCTTGGGATGACGACTAGATAATGCCAATGTAGGCATACAGAATACTGCTGCTAGTAGTAGAAAACTGGGTTGTTGGGATCCTCCGGTATAGGGAAACTGGTCTCAGGGTAGTGATCAAGTGCTAGTAGAAAATCGGTATCATAGTCAGGTGGATGATGAGTCCGTCGGCAGCAGGCCTGGTACTAACATACCGTTCTTCCGAAGCTAGACTTACAGAAAAGAGCGTGATAGAGATTGCAAAGTTTTTCTCATTGATTACCATGATTTGTTCTCTCTAATACTTGAAAATGTTGGTGAGCTCCATGGCTTGCACCGTCGTCGTGTGGGCTGGGCTGACATTTTTCCTCTATATATGAACCATGTTTAGTTTCTTTTGCAGTTGTACTCTGTGGTAACCATTTTTTACACTATTGTACTCTTTTATCCTTGTCGCCCATTATACTGAGATCTTAAATCATGATGCGTGCCATCTTCTGCCCTGCTAGCTGCTGTGTTTTGATGCCAATGAAACTAGAATAAGCTCCAGGCCTTTATTGTAATATAAACGAGTCTTGCTATTAGGGATGAAAACGGTACGGATATTTCCAATCGTATTCGAGACCGAATCCGTTTAGAGTTCAGATCTGTCCATATCCGAGTCCGGATATTCAACATCTGATACCGTATCCGCATCCGAATAATCAAATCGTATATTTATGATGTCGATATCCAATCGTATCTTATCCGTCATGGTTGACAAGTATGTATTCATGGGTAATACTGGACCAGCCACATGATGTGTTGATCGGTGACGCTTGTTGGAGACGTGACGTGGTGTACGTAGGAGTAAGGAGAGTGAGAAAAAAAATAATGTTATTCTATTCTATATGGCAAGGTCATAGCTCTCTGGTTGGTCTTTGCTATGAATTGGTATATAATGACCGCCTCCATAATGCTCCTATTCTGACAACGTGGCTACTCTAAGAACAAGCTAGAAGCATGGACGATTTGGATGCAGCCGGCAGTGTATGCACAATATTGACTGAGCTGCCGCTTGGCGACCAGTAGTGCGGACAGGACACGGGAAAGATGTGCACACACGGCCCGGGTGGATGAGATTATAGCGGAACTCATAGGATTAGGCCATCTGGACGGCTTTAATCTCCGGACGCAACGTGGTGGCCTAACAGTCTCGCATCCCTCTATCCATGGAACGTACAAGCTTCTCTCCTAAATATCCATATTACTCATCCGCTTTTCTCTCTTGTTCACCTGGCATCGCTCACTCCAACTTCCTACTCATCGCCCGGCGCTGGCCACCCTCTCCACTGTGCCCTTTTTCCCACTCGTCTGGCACTAGGACAGTAACCATGGTGAGCCATCCCTAGTGGCCCTCTACCAAGTCAGAGCCACGCTACCTCCGCGCCCCCCTTGCCTCCCTCGATCCATCTCTTGAACGCGTTCACCAGGGTACGTGGATATCTGCTGGCACATCGCTGCCGCTAGTGCCGCCTTCGGCATGCTGGTGTTATATGCAACCGGCCCTACATCGAGCCTCCATTCGTCCAAGCAACAAGTAGATGTTGTGCTTGAAAGCGAATATTGCAAGAGTATGTTTTGAGTATTTCAGATGTTTCTGAGGTATGTTGTAATTGTTTCATGTGGATGTTGCAAAAATAAATCGGGATGTTTCATATGTTGCAGTGGTTGTACACGTATGTTGCAAGCGTCTGTTCCAAATGTTTCATCTGTTTTTCAAACTATGTTACAAGTGAGTTTATCTGGATGTTACATATGTTTCACACATATGTTGCAAGTGTTTTATCTGGACGTTGCATATGTTTTTCAATGGCTTTTCAAGTGTTTTTGCAAGTGTTTCAAACACATGTTTCAAGTGTTTCATCTGTCTTCATATGTATGTTACAAATGTTTCATCTGGATGTTATAAAAACAAATAGGGTGTTGCTGTTGGGGACCCACCTGCTGCAGCAAGCGTCCAAGCGGGGAAATAGAGGGGGTGTGAGCGGTCTCCATGTGGGGTCAGGAGGCGCGGGCGATGTTCGGACGGCGCGCAGTCCCCATGTGGGCATGCAAAACAAAGTGCAGATGCGGCGTCTGGACGCCACAAGATCTATCCGGACGCTTGGGCACTAGCACTGCCGAGATTGTAGCGATTAACTAGGTATGGGTTGGGTATGTGCTGCGGAAGGGTAGGTACAGATCCTCATGGGACATAGGTGAAAAGTTATTAATAAAAATTGTTAATTTTCTAAGACTCACACAAAAAATAGATTTTTGATGGAGCTTGATATACATTATGCAATGTTTTCATTCATATTTCATATATGCATTTATTACATCATATATTTAATATATATCTTCACACACCGAAACAGGACACTTATTACAAATATGCAATGATACATTTCTCACACCGTACGTACTATTTGAGCATGCATCCATGCATTTAACATCATATTCCAGTTTTATTTCACACATATATAGGTATCTCGAGCACAAGTATATATATCATCAGTTAGGCCCATGGGAGTAGTTGAATTTGATATCCCTGTGGGAACATGATGACTGCCTTGCGGGATACTTCCCCTCCTTTGATTTTCGTCCATCTGCAAATACTCAAAATAATTCAGAAGCATGTCAAAGCGCTGCCAGCCTACGAATGTATAAATAGCAGTTTTGTCATGTGCCAGTAACTACCTGTACTTTGTCACCAAAACATGGAGGAAAAGTGCCATGAAAAGCTTGCTAAACTCTGATGCAGGACAAGCCCTTATGCCTAACCCAAATGGCACAAAATTGTTCTGTGCATTTCGCTTTGACTCATCCTGCATTTCTGGGATCGTCAGTATTTTCATAATGGCGATAGAAATGGGTAGCAATAATTGGGTTTTAATTTTTCACTGACCAGCCACCTCCATGGATTAAAGTCGAGTGGATCTTCAAAGAATTCTGGGTTTAGATGCACTGCCATGGGACTCATCATAACCATCCACCCGGCTGGAATTGTATACCCTGGGTTTACATGCATGTGTAAGTTCTTATATACTCATGCAAAAATAATTATATACACTACATAGCTTTGGATGCTTCATTGCCCTAACATGGCAGCTAGGTTGCTAAACATTAAACTAGAGTTTGTATCTAATTTCACTACCACAGAAGTCTTCGTCATGTCGGTTCCATAACCCACACGTTAGTATTGGTTTGGATTCAGACAATGGCAGTGATACTCAAGGATACTCCTTGTCCTTGGTGACCAAAAAACTAGCAGCATTCCATTGTCATTGTTGGTCACCAAGGATAATCACATTTGTTTGTTTGTTAGTTCTTGTCTGCACAAACACTGGCAGTTCCATTGTCATTGTTTTGTTTCTAAACTAGAACCAACACTGCAAAATCCTTGCTCTATCTACAGTTACAGGTCATTGTTATGATCAGACAATAATAATAAAGAAGATCAATGTTGGTTCCAAACAGACAGATACAGTAGTGTAGGTTCTAGTTAAGACATGGAATTATTACATTAATGAGTGTCAGTTTCTAAGGAAGTGGAATTAATAGGGCGCTAGAAATGGTTTATTTTGTGGTAATTCGGTCACTTCTTTGTATCATATATACTCCTAAAAACACTACCTAAACAATAATGAAAAATTCCGACAATTTTTTTCGTACAATTGTATAAGTATACCATTCACTTGCACGTCTGTTAAAGTTTTCCTGAAAATCCCTGGTGTGACATTACTCATTCTCGTAAGCTCATTTATAACCTTCATGCAAAACAAGAACAAGCTCTCTTAAGTTAGAGAAGAAGATCCAAACAGGCTAACCCAGCCCATGAGGAAATGGAAGCATAAATAAGGATCGAAGTCACCATATTAGTGAAGGTCAATGACTTGTACTCCTCCCATGTGAAACCAGAACTTGAGTCCTTTCTGTTCCTCAATATTGTGTCATGCTCCTCCTGAAGCAAAATGATTTTGCATTATTCAACATCGGCTATATGTACTGGATGTAAAATGTTAATCATCTCTGAGTTTAACCTTCCTTCTCAAAAAAGAGTATCTATCCCTATCCATATTTATTTCTAGAGTGAAACTGTGCACACATGGTTATGCGGAATATATAACCTAGTAATTTAGCGATACCTTGAGAGCATCCAGAACTGTTGGGTTATCACTGAGGAACTTGAACGCTAGTGTGAGATTGGGTGACAATGTCACAAAGCTTGTAAACAAGAGAGCAGACAGTGCATCTGTAGCAAATTTCTCATCTATTGTTGGCTTTTCACTCTGTATTTCTTCAACCATCATGTTGAGAACATCTCCATGCTTTTCCTTAGGCGTGCTTATCCTCTTTCTCAATAGATTTGACATTAAGTTTAGCATATTGTTCTTTCCCTGCTCACAAAATATAATACAATCATGGGGCTTATTAATAACTAAAAACCCTGAAAGTCAACATGCTCAAATGCTTATATTGTTACAGTTGAGTAGCTGAATTGCAAAAATGTTCAATATGATGAAAATATTATGTAATATTATTACTTAATCTGTGTGTGAAACATAAAAATTATTACAAACCTGCATGCACTGGTAAAACGTTGTCCCAGGGAAATATATGGGGAAAGATATCAATCCTTCTAGGAAAGAACTGTAGTTCTTTCTCAATTCTCTTGACTTTGAGGGATGGAGGCCAAGCATCTTCCTAGCCACAAGCACAAAGATTACCTGCAAAAAAAGTCATGTCAAATTAATCAGTTTATAGAGGATATAGCATCATGCAACAGTCATTCATAGAGGATTATTTTTACATTCTACAATTGAGGTTGGATTACAGTATGAGTTTTTTTAACTACGTATACCCCGCATCATTATATATTTAATTTCTCGCTTGGTTTCATAATCTATGTCACAGCTTTGGAGTATGAAAATGTATGTCCATGTGTGGCGATTGATTATTTTCCTGAAAGAAACTTCAAATGCAAAGTCTAGGTTTCAGAGGAGCGTTGTCAATCCGTTTATTAAAGCATTAAACATAGATTTGTCAGTTATGAGGGTTGGAACGTTCATGTAATTTTAGGTTAACCTTTTGCATGAGTCCGCGCACAATGATGGACACGGAGATACATTGCAAAATGGAGTGACTACCCCCTCTGTCCTCAATTAAATAAAATTTTATAGTTATTTTAAGTCAAACTATTTTAAATTTAACCAAATTTGTAAAAAAGAGAACCAATGTTTATAATATCAAAAAAAAATATCAGCAGATGTTGTTTATATTTATAATATTATGAAATATATTTTTTATAATGTACTTACATAGTGTCACAGATGTTGTTATCTTTTGTTTTTGTAATAAAGTTGGTCAAACTTAGGATAGTTTGACTTATTAGCATCATTCTGTGAAATGGTTTATTTAAGGATAGAGAGGTAGTACTTACTTTTGGTGCCCTTTATCTTATTTAATCAATTATCAAACTTAATTGGAAAATGTAAAAGATTATTAGCCATAATTGCACTTACATCAGGCGTGCTATCAGGCACATCAATGCTAGGTTTAGTTGCCCATTCAGCAAAAGTGTCTCTAATGTCCTTTTCCAGTTCTGGAATGAGGTCTTGCTTCAGATATTCAAGACCGAATAATCTAGACATGCAGTTCCGAACGAACTTCTGAGAGGCGCCATTAAACTCATCGATGGTCTTCTCACCGATTATGATATTCGCTGTCTCAGGGTACCAGCTCCGAAACAACTTCCTTCTTGCTGAAATATGAACCGGTTCACCTCTGGATCAGCACAAAACAACCATAGGTTGTCCCACTAAATTTGTCTTAAAAATGGGACCGTACCTAAGAGCAATAATAATAAGAAAAGGTTATTGATCGATTTTAAAAATCACTAGACATTATTGGAATCGTTACTTCAACAAAGCATGAAAGTACACGTGAATATAATTTGAATATATTTAGTGTCAATATGTGTATATTAGTATGTATCTCTCAGAGAAACATTTCTATAATACACTATGATCAAGAGGCCTGGAAAAATACAAGACCTCAAAGAGCATGAAAAGAATGACCGTCATGGGGAGAGTGAGGTACGAATAGACGAATCCACTATGTTAGAGGCCGCCATCAACGACGGGTCATTTCCCTCATCACAAACAACGTGAGAAATTTACATCTGAGAGTTTGTGTCCGTGATGTGATTTTCCCCATATCTTTAATGGCACGATTTTCTCCATCTCTGATTTTCCCTCATCACAAAGTGTCTTTATATATTTGTCTCTAAATGATGACCATCAGTGACGTTTATATAATTTTACATCAGTGATGTGTTTGTCTCTGATGTAAGTGTCTTCTTTATGCTGTTTTGCCATGAACTAAGGGCTGAAAAGGCAGCAGCAATGTAAGAGCTTAGCACTCTCTAGTTCATTGCATTGTCTGATGTGAAATTATCCGTACTTTATTCCTATGTATTCCGATACGTAACAAATGGTAAGGAACTTTTGGCCATATTCTCTCTGCTCATATATATTGCACCATCCCATGTTCTTACAAGCCTATGTTCTGTTTTATGAAGGACCATGAATGAATCTTTATTTTTTTTAACTTCTGTATATAAGGTTCACTTCAAAACAGCAGACACTTCAATTTGAGTACTGTGTACTTATAGATTATTTGGTTGATAACTTAAAATTATTATTCAGTTGATAAAAGTGGATACAGAAGGGCCTGGTGCCAATGATAACAAAATTAGAGAGCATTAAAAGTACGGATTTATAAACTCACCTCTGCATTCTTTGTTTGTAGAAATTTGGAATGTCCAAGGAGGCACTCATCTTGAAGAACTCCATGGTCTCACCAATGATAGGTAAACCCATGGAACCAGGGGGAAGCGTGCCATTGCATGGTGGATTTATCCACTTGTACACCCAGTGTACTAACCATCCCGTCATCAGCGTAACAGCACATAGAGCTGCATATGGAACTACTAGTGAAATCTCCATTCTCTCCTGCTGATAGAACTGATTTCCTCTAAAGTAGAGAACCTTAGCTCTGCACATGGGAGTCGTGGCCTTTACCATCTTATATAGGAAAGATATGGTGTGTGCACGCCAGTTGTTGGGCCCTCAATTAATTTTGCTTCTAGAAAACATTAGCTCTATCCTGACTGGATCTTCGATATATTGTAATATCCAAACTTAAGCTAGCGGGGTTTCTTGTGGCGGACCCTGCTCACTGGGTTTTAAGTCATTGACTTAAGGCAATGAGATTGTTCTTTTAGTGGCAGGCATCAGTGTGGCATATTCAATCAAGTTGACAACTATGTACACAATTTGTTATTTCTGTGTAGAAAATTTTGGTAACTAGGGTCTTCTATGATACTTGTACCTGCTAGGAGGTAGGACCTCAAAAAAATCACAACCCGATTTCATTTAGAATACATAAACCAATTAGTTAATTTAAATAATCAAGGAAAAATAAAATCCCCGTGCATATAGGTGTCCCATGGTAATGAAATCAGTTTATGTTCCATGTATGTGATTATGTGAATGATCAATACCCTGTCTATCCACAAAATGATGCAAAAAAAAACACTCACTTTTTGAGACGTCAAATGATTTAAAGTTTGGCTATGTCACACCCAGTTTTAAAAACAAAACCAGATTCATCATATGTGTGCCCAGGAAGTCCACACATACAACAACAGAATAGAGGATATCAGAATCAATGTTATATAGCGGAAACATACTTATAATTAGCAATTACATCAGAGTATAGCAGAACGGTTACTAATATTTTCTTCGGGCTCCAACTTCACAGGGGACGGCTGACTGGGGTACATACGCCTAGCACTTCTATCCGTCTTCTGGGAAGTCCTTCGTAACTCCATCAATCTTCATAGCAACTTTTCTAAAGTCTAGGGTGTGGAAATAGCAAGGGTGAACACATGTCGTACTCAGCAAACATAACATGGGCGAATGAAGGCTCAAAAGGCTGACACTGTTGAACTGCGGTAAGCACTTTTAGTGGATCAAGTTTTCGCATTAAGAACCTGAGTTGCTAAATTATGCTTAAGCTCCAATTCCCACAAGATCATGAGTAATGGCAATAAGACAATAATGAATAAACATGAGCATCAACATCATAGTATAATAAGAACCCCTAATTCCGTGAGTTTTCCAAGCCACTCATGACCGTGAGCACGGCTGTTATAACAGTTTTACACTCTGCAGAGGTTATACATCTTTACCCATGAGCCGTGATTTACCCTTTCGTCCGAGGTGACCAGCCTCTTGACCCACTACCAAGAAAGGTTGACAGGGTTCACTATAAAGTCTTTCAAAGGTTCGTCTAACAAGTTAGTAGCCGCTAGGTTTTCAATTGGCAAGGGAATGTAGAGCCCCCTTCCGAATGGCAAGCCCCTTTTGCGCCCTTTCGGGTAACCACTAACAAGCTAGAAAATGTCCTTCTACTCAACCAAAAGCCAGAGCCATGTAGCACTCATGATTGTACTGTAAGTCCCGGATTTTGCTCACAGAAAAATGGGAAAAGGTTCCGAAAGAAGCCAGAATAATTCACAGAAAGATTTTAGAGATATGTTGATGAACGGTGAACTCAATGGAATGATTTATAGCAGAAGAAAAAGGATCTCTGGAATCTATAAATGAAAAGATTAAGATCTAGAGAGCGGGTATTTTATTAAAAAGAACAGAACAGAGGCTTGCCAGGGAAGGAGAAACAACTTACTAAACGTGTTTTTAAAACTTTACTCACTCACCACACAAAGTCATGCAACAAGTAAACATCACATCAAGAGAAACCCATCAAATTAATTTAGAAAAGATTGAAAATTCACATTTTTCCATAACTAAATTTGCACTACCTTAAACTAAACTTGGGAAATTTCTTATCAACATTGAAATCATTCATTTTATTTAGTGTTTTCTATGCACAACCCAAAATCAAAAATTTTGGGGTGTGACAGACTATAGGTACATAAAAACATACTAACATTTATAACACAAAATAAGTACAATTAAATTAATTATGAAATATATTTTCGTAGTAAACCTAGGAAAACATAAATCCTAATTCTTTCATTATAAACTTGGTCAAAATTAAACTAGTTTAATATGTACAAATGACAAATCTCAGCTCATAGTTGCGCTTTTTTATGGATCGGGGCAATATAGAGTAAGTAGACACCTCCTACTGGGCAAATTTCTAGTTGATGCACAATCAGAGACACTAAACCGTGGGGTGTGTCTAGCAGTCAGACAAAACTAATGCAGCTATGATTCCCTAGTGAGAAAATTTTGGACATGTCACTTCCTAGTGAGAAAATTTGGACATCACACTTCTGAGTGAGAAGATTTGGGCCTGCACATGTCGTCGGAATATCTCATGTACTAGTAAGTTAAATATATATGTTAGGTATGTATGGTGCATCTAACGTGCAATATATCACATACATTTTTTCTAAAACATATTGTGTTAGGGTACAATCATAAAAATATATATGTAACCCCTCTCACATAATAAACACTACTGTACGTATTATGACATGCATGATATCTGTGTAATTGTCACGTTACACCTTTCTCTGTCTGCGAGTTCGTCATGTATGCAACTTAATTTATGGCTACATACAATTTTCCAAGTTTTATGCACCTACTATAATTCATTCAGGTTAAAAGGAAAACACAATACGAAAGAATACCACATGATGCCGCGTACAAATTAAATGCCAGGTTAGTTTGTGTTGTCAGGGCAGTTAAAAGTTTAAGTCCGGTTATTATTTATTTGTTTGTCTTGCAAAAATGTGTAAGGTCTAATAGGATTAAAAAGGTGAAGTCACTTTAGTTGTTTTGTCACGTAAAAGCGTGTGACCTCTACTTCGGTTCAAAGGTCACATCTAGTTTGTCACGTGGTTAGGGTAGTCATGTTATTAGTTAGTAGCATAGATTAGCCAGGTTAAGCACGTCAGTTAGTAGGTGAGATTAAATCTACACGTTAGTTAGTATGCTAGATTACATGTACACGTTAAGTTAGTAAGTTATATCTAAAAGAAAATATTCACTACTACAAAATTGCTTTAGAGGCGGTCAGATTTGGCGACTCCACCATAGAGTCAGTTATGATTAAGTGTAGGATACTACTCTCTTCAGTTCAGTTTATAAAGTGGAATTCGATATGACACTGTCTCAAAAATTACACTTGACCATTCATTTATTTTGTATTATATTTTTTATGATTTTAAGTTTATGATCATTGGATTCTCCATTTGATTACAAATCTAACATATCAAATTTGTATTGCAAAATTTGAAAATTATAGAACAATTTGTTGGTCATAGATTGTGAGGTTTGAATCTTGATATGCATATGTGTTTTTATAGCCTAGAATAGAGGGAGTATCGTTTTGTAATAACGTATACCAATCTTGTATTAAATATTTTGCCCCCTAAACGGTTTTAAATGAAAAAAAGTTTTAGCATAGATCAGGTTTTAAGTCAGGTTATTATTATTCCATTAGCTTGTCATATGAAATTAAATTAAACTCGTATAACGTCTAATAGGATTAAAAAGGCGGTCACTTTATTTATTTTGTCACGTAAAAGCGTGTGATATCTACTTGTGTCATGTGGTTAAGTTAGTCACGTTATTAGTTAGTAGAATAGATGAGGTTAAACACGTTAATTAGGTGAGATTAAATCTACAGGTTAGTTAATTAGTAGGATAGATTACACGTACACGTTAAATTAGTAAGTTAGATCTGTCTCAGCTTCCGATCCATAGCGTGACTGGCATACCATGTCGAATTAACAATTATTTGCATGGCGAGTTTAGTTATTTTTATGAGCACGTGTAATAGACAGGCAGCACATCTATCAGTGATGGCAAATAAGGGACTTAAGATGCTGACGCAACGGCTTAGCTTAAGCAGTGAATTAACTTGTCTCAGCTTCCATTGTATAAAAAAATGTTAGGAGATAGACTCTCTGGTTAATAGAGGTAGACACTTTTAGGGCCAGGGTCCATCACCAAAAATAGTGAGGCAAGTCTTACGCAAACGGGTGTATGTGTTAATCAATTTCACAAGTGTTCTAAGGTGACTGCCTCTATTAACCGACTGTTAACATAGATGGACGTCTACATCTGTTAATCGATTAACAGAGGCGTATATCTTAAGATAACAATCTCCAAAAATGACTATTAACAGAGGTTGTACATTCTAAGGGACTGCCTCTATAAATCAGTTAACAGATGCGAGCATTTTAAGAGCCTGCCGCTAGAAATACTTGTCTCAAAAATTCTTAACTTTTATATAAAATCATATAAAGACAAAATTTATACTAAAATTGTAGAGCTCAATGTGATCTTCAATTTTATGTTTAAACTTTTTTATTTGAAACTATTTAGAGTTCCAAAAGATCATTTTATGCTCCCAAATTTTGAATTTAAATTTTGATTTTTTAAATAATCTCGAATGTTGACATGGTCTACACAAAAGTTGTAGTTCACAACGCTATCTACAACTTTGTAGCTATAATGACGAATCAATTGAACACCTCTTCTTTGACAATGGTTCACTTTGTACTAGGTTTGGAACCCCAAAAGATATCATGATATTTTTTACAGATGGTACAAACAAGGGGAATTTCAAATCAATCCTTGTTACTGATAGGACGTGCAGCCATTTGCTTGACAATATGGCTTATAGGAACGTAGCACCTGGTTTTAAGAAAAAAACCAGATACACACCATATGTGAGTCCAGAAAGTCAAATCTCACATATAGCTACAAATAAGGATAATATCAAAAGACAATGCTTAAATACATAGCATATTAGTATAAAGATTATAACCTCAGAGTATAGAGAGCGGAAAGACAACTCCGATCTTCAGGCGAAGACTCCAAATCCACAGGGACAACTGACTGGTTGATCACAAGTCTAATTCCTCCAAACTCTAGCAATCTGGTACCCATCCGGGATTTTTCCA